CTGCCTGGGAGCCAAGACCGGGTTTCAGGTTTTTAAAGGTTGGTAAAAGGAAAACAGGAACAGAAAACACTGATGCGACAGACCACATGTGGCCCCAGAACCCGCTCTCTCCACAGCCGGCCCTTTACAGAAAGCCGCAGTGCGCGACACGGTGGAGCGAGCACCGTCCTCGGGAAGTTCCGGCCTGAGGGTGTCACTTCTCCATCAGGAACACCGGCAAACGGATCCTTCGGGAAAATGCTGGGAGTCCACAATTTCTTCTTTAAGTATTTACACTCATCTACCAAAAAACCCACCAACCTGTCCAAGTCTCGTGAAAAATCTGTACACCACCGAAGGCTTCCCATGGACGGACTCTCCCACACTGTCCCCTTCAGACATTCTGTAACTGAGAAAGACACAAGACGTTTAAATAAAAAGCATTCAAGGACGTGAAAGCTTGGCCCCATGTTCACCAACACTGTCAAGTACATTTCCATATTCAGCATTGCGTCCACGCCATTTGTGTTTTTACTATCAACTGTTCGGGAAAAAGCAGCAGGTGCACAGGCTTCCGTGGAGGGGAGGGCGGCGCGAGGCGGACTTGCCCAGGAGCGCGGTGCGTCCGCATCCCCCCACCGGCACCTCGGCCACCTGAGCATGGGCAGCACCGTCCGCCCCACTGGCCCTAGGAGCAGCCTGGCTGTCGCTGTCGGGTCCCTGGGCTGGTCCCTGGCACGTGGCACTGGACATCCTCCAGGGATGTGGATCCCGCAGGGTCCCCCCCAGGCACCTGTCCTGGGTCTCCGGGCTGGCGGGAGCAGGAAGTGTCCTGTCCTCTCAAGGCCAGGTCCTCCACCCCCCACACAGCAAACCGCTGTCCACAGCTCTCAGCTAATCCACCCATCTGCGTCCCAGTTTCTTATCTGGCAAGCGGAGGTGACGGGTCTGCTCCCATTTCAGCACGCCGCTGTGATGCCATGAGGAATGCACCTCAGAAGCCAGGTGCCAGAGGTCACAGTTTACCCAAGTGAAGGGCATCCTTACCCCCATCTCACAAAGCAGGGCCTAGTCACAACCAGCGGAAGCCACGTGTCCAGGGTCACAGTTCTGCTTCTGAGCAGGCGGAGCCAGGCTTGACTGCCACCTGGCTGCTCAGCCGAGCACGCCCCCACGTCACTCCTGAGCCCAGCTGGCTTCGGGACCCACCGCTCCTCGGGAAAGTGCTGCTGAGTACCCGGGGCCTGCCAGTTGTCACTCCTACTTTAAAGATGAGATGCCTGCTGGCTCCTGAGCTGGAGAAGATGCCAGGGCAAAGTTCGTGTCCTCCCCACCCCCACCTCTGCCTCGGCATGGCGGTGAGGAGAAACAGCCTCCAGTCTCAAATCTGGCTTACCGTCCCCCCTGTGCTAAGTGGCTGTGAGGCCTTCAGGAAACCCTCTGCCAGCAGCCAGCCTCTGTTTCCTCATCTGTAAAATGAGGCTCTGAGAAACTGGCCAGGCACTGGCCGGGCGTGGTGGCTCACGTCTGTAATCCCAGCACTTTGGGAGGCTGAGGCAGAAGGATTACCTGAGGTCGGGAGTTCGAGACCAGCCTGGCCAACATGGTGAAACCTTGTCTCTACTAAAAATATAAAATTAGCTGGGCATGGTAGTGCGTGCCTGTAATCCCAGCTACTCAGGAGGCTGAGGCAGGAGAATCACTTGAACCCAGGAGGCGGAGGTTGCGGTGAGCTGAGATCTCACCATTGCACTCCAGCCTGGGCAAGAAGAGCGAAACTCTGTCACAAAGGAAAAAAAAAAGATACACCAGACACAAAGGCAAAGACATAATTCCTCAGCAACTCTTGCAGTCAGTCTTACGGTTCTCATTTACAGATTAAGAAAACTGAGGCTCACAAAGGCTAACGAGGTGCCCCCGCCCATGAGCAGGGTCACACTGGGCGGGAGCTGGAACCTGCGCCTTCCTGAAACCAACACTCTTCCAGTCACCGAGCACCGCGCACCGGGGGCATCTTCCCTTCAGGGTGGAAGGGGGCAGGCGGCCAGACTCGACCCCCCAAGTGCCTCTGCCTTCCCATCACAACCGAAGCGCTGAAGTGATCAGGGCAGCTCCCTCCACGCTGCCAGGGCTGTGCAGAATGTGGCTCCGTGACCGCTTCCTGGTTCCTCTGTGCAGAGGCCAGGCAGGCTCGAGGAGACCAAGGGGCCATTTGGAAGAGCCGTGTCAACAGAAGACACAGAGGAGCACCTCTACCCTCCACTGAGAACTCCGCATTTAAATCGGGGTACACTAGAATGCAGCATCTGGAATGGGCACCTATTTAGGACAAGGCCAGGCCACCTGAAAGGGACTTCAGTCACATTCTTCGTCCTATAGCTCCGTACAAGTTCCCGCCTATTTTACTCAGACGGAGTGTTTCCCATTAAAGCACCTTTACTTGGCTGGAGGTGAGGAGTAACGTTAGAGAGAGAGCCCCGGGCCCTCCCACATCAGGCTGTTCTCCAGGCAAAGCTCAGAACTTCTCACTCTCCAGCTGAACACGTGGAAAACCTACTGAAAACGCATCAGCCAATTCTGCTTGTCTGACACACACAACACGTACACCAAACACAGCTCGAGCTCTGAACAGCCCGAGGCAGCGTGGCAGGAGCAGGAACGTGAACTTTGAACTTCAACGGCCTTTCCGAGCCCGGCTCTGCCTCACTCCGCCAGTGTGACCTGGACACGCTATTCCAGGATGCCTCAGGCTCCAGTCTGTGAAACGGGACACCCGCACCCCTCCTGCCTTCTCTACCAGGCTCTCGAGAGGAGTCAGTGGGCAGCCCGCGGAGCGTCCTCGGTACCAGGCAAGGCAGTGCCAGCCCTGTTCCCAGATCAGGGCCAGCCCTCACAGCAGCTGCCTCCTGCGGCCCTCTTCTCTGCTGTTGGAAGGCCACCTACGCTTCAGAAGCCTCCGTGACTGCCCACACTGACCCCAGTCCCTTACATCACATCACCGTTATTTATTTATTTATTTATTTATTTATTCTTAAGACAGAGTCTTGCTCTGTCACCCAGGCTAGAGTGCCATGGTGCAATCTCGGCTCACTGCAACCTCCGCCTCCTGGGTTCAAGAGATTCTCCTGCCTCAGCCTCCCAAGTAGCTGGGATTACAGGTGTCCGCCACCATGCCAGGCTAATATTTGTATTTTCAGTGGAGAGGGGATTTCAGCATCTTGGCCAGGCTGGTCTCCAACACCTGACCTCATGATCCACCCGCCTCGGCCTCCCAAAGTGTTGGGATTACAGGCGTGAGCCTCTGCCCCTGGCCCATCACCCTGCTTTTTTATTTTGTGTACGTTGTTTTCTGACACCTTTCTGCTTTCCCAACTTTCTCCTAGAAAGCTCCTTGAGGGGTCCCTGTCGGGTTCTAGACTGGGCCCTACCACCTAGAAGTCCATCACATAGTAGACTACTTTAGGTCCAGACACAAACGAAACGAAGAGGTAGATAAAACCAGTGCAAGCAGAGACCGTGAGGACGTGCTGGAGAGTGTAAAGCTCTCCACATGCCCTGTTCCACGGCTTGCCACCTTCATCCACGTGTGTGGTCCTTCACTAAGGAAGCGCTGTGTCGAATGGATGAAGACCTCTGCCTGGCCCACCGGGCACTGAACTCTGCTTCCCACCACCTCTCTCTTCACGTCCCCATCCCAATTCCTCAGGACGAGGAAAGCCCCCGCCTGCGCACCAGGCTTTACGCCTCTGGTGTTGTTCCGTCCTCTGAAATGCCCTCCCAGACCCTCTCTTCCTTCTTCCCAAGGCCACATTCCGGCCCGGGCTCCTCTCTCCTCTGCGCCTGACCATCTCACATCTGCACCTGGCTCCTCCGCACTGTAACCGCGGTCACCTCGGGCACACGGCAGAAGCCAAGTGAGAGTCTGAATTCCTGAGGACCCTTAGTCCACGGAGGGGACAACTACATCTTACTAGGAAATATCAACCCAACTAAGAATAAAGTGCCTCCGAAACGACCAGCCAGTCCCTACTCTTCATAAAGAGAAAGCGGGGAAAGCCCCCTGAAGGTCCCGAGGCTGAAAGCAGGCCTCGGTGCGGAGGGGCGCCTGGCAGGGACACGCACGTGACTTGATCAGTGGGACCACACACCAGTACGAAGTCAGCCGGGAGCATTTATGACTTTATTGCCTATTTCGAACACAATCGAAACCGAGGTGGCCAGTTCCCCTTCAGCCCGTCAGGGACGCCTTCACCCCAGGGCTTAACACTAAATCCTACAGATTTGCTCTGACCTGGACGCCGGATGGGGAGACGGCACATCCCCACTCGAATCCAGCCCAACGCAGAGCGCCGCGGGTCGGCAACTGCCCGCTTCCCCAAAGGCCCGGCAGGGGAATCGGACGAGGCGCGGCCCGGGTGGGGAGGGCGGCAGCCCCCGCCGGGCCCCTCTCCCGCTCCCCCGCCCCTCGCGGGCCCGAGGACTCGGCCCGCACCTCCGGACCCCTCTCCGCCGCCACCCGCCAGGCCCCTCTTCCCGGGCCCGCCCCGAGGCGCGACCCGTACCCCCCAGGGCCGCGGACCGGGAACAGGCTCCCCGCGGCCACTCGGGCCCCGACGGCCCTCCCCGCCCGGGCCTCAGCGCGGCCCCGCCCGCCCGCGGCCTTGACAGCCCGGAAAGAGCGGAGGCGGCGCTGCCCGGCCGTTCCCGCGCCACGCAGCCCTTCCCGGCACCTCGCAGCTCCGCTGCGGCCGAGCCGCGGTCTCCCTCACGGCCGCGGGAAGGAGGACAGCGGGGCAGGGGCGGCCGCCGGCGCTGCGCTCGGGCTCCGGGAAGCTGCAGCGAGCACTTCCGCTCGGTCCTGCGCGGCGCCGCCTCCAGGGCCCCCAAGATGGCGCGGGGGCGGGGCCGAAGGCTCCAACCATTTCCGCTTCCGGCGCAGACGCGCAAGCCGTTGGCGGGCGTGCCTCTCGGCGGAAGAGACGACGGCGGCGGAAACGCGCCGCGTGCGCAGGCGCAGCTGCGTCCTCTGGCTCCGGGTCCGGCTGGCCTCACTCCAGAGATTGCGCGAGCCCAGGGACTAGGCCCGTGGCCACACCCCCTTGCGACAAAGACCAATGGAAGCGTGCGTTGCTGGTTGTTAAGGAAACCCCCGGCAGCAAGATGGCGGCGGCCGGCGAGGGCAGCCAGAGCTCTCGCGGGCCGCGCCGGGACCCGCCGAGGCGGCCGCCCCGGGACGGTAACAGCTGCGGGCTACAGGGCGGGTCGCTGTCCTGGGCTCCGTTCGGGGTGCGATCGCTCTACGCCCTCGACCCCCAAATGCTCACCTCGGAAAATGGAGGTCCCAGTGCAGCGGCGGAGCCGGGGCCACCCCCGCGTTCCCCACTCCCATCCAGAACTCGCCGGGCGCCTACCCGGGACCGGCTCGCACCCTTCCCCGAGCCCTCCTTCCGCAGCGGGTCCAGCCCTGCAGGGGGTCGCCCCCCGCGGGCTCCTAGCAGGGAAGGCCGGGTTCGGGCTGCAGCCTCGCAGCCAGCGGGGCCTGGTGTTGCCATGAGGATCCCTAATCCCAGGACGCGGGGCGAGGGCAGGCGCAGGACCAGCACCAAGCCTCCTGCCTTCCTGGCCGGGGCTGTCTAGAAACTCGAGGATGCATTTCAAAAGCAGTTTTTGCCTGTACTCCCGGCACTTTGGATCACCTTAAGTCAGAAGTTCGAGACCAGCCTGGCCAACATGGCGAAACCTTGTCTCTACTAAAAATACAAAAATTAGCCAGGCGTGGTGGCGCTTGTAGTTCGAACTACTCGGGAGGCTGAGGCCGGAGAATAGCTTGAACCCAGGAGGCGGAGGTTGCAGTGAGCCGAAATTGAGCCACTGCACCCCAGCCTGGGCGACAGAGCAAGACTCCGTCTCAAAAACAAAAAGGTTTTGATAGGAACTGTTCCTAGAATTAAATAAACGGGTCTGAAAGAGCTCACACCAGTGTCTTCAGGTAGAACCTTCCTGATTTGGGCATATACAGGAGCCTGTGGGAACCCCCTACCCTCCTCCCCGACATTTTCCCATAAACCCTGCCCCCAAGATGTGCCTGGGAAGCTGGTAGGGAGGGAGCCTTGCCCCTTCCAGGAACTGCGGGAGTTGGCTGGCACACTCAGCAACTGAATGGGAAGAGATGAAGCTGGCCAGGCCCTCCTTGGGTATGAGTGTGGATTTTGTCCCCTGAGGATAGGAGGCCGCTGAAGGGTCACAGCAGGGAATGGGAGGGTCTGCTCCTCCCCTGTGTGCCCTCTGACGCTGCTCCTGTGCCTTCCTCTAGCTCACTCATCCCCTCTGCCACAAGTCTCCCCACCTCACTCTCCCGAGCACCTCTGCTCTCTCAAGGACCTGCAGTTGTTTCAACCCAGCCCTCCTCTCGCTGGGCCTGTCTTCTCTGCACCAAGTAGGTGCCCATCCTTGTCCCATAAACACATGAGCAAATGGATAGACCGACAGTAGACAGGAGAGCTCATGAACCCCACAGGGCGTTTCTGGGCAGTGGAAGGTGAAGGACACCGACCCCTCGAATACCCTTGAGAGAGCTGCACTCCCTCCCTCAGAGGTGAGTGGACCACGCCTCACCTCTGAGTGTCTGTGCTCACCTGTGTGTGTCTTCTCCATATTCAGGTTATGGTGTCTACGTGTACCCAAATTCCTTCTTTCGATATGAAGGAGAATGGAAAGGAGGGAAGAAACACGGTGAGGAGCCTCAAGGGTCTCTTCCTGCCACTGCCACCCCAAAGCTGATGGAGCGGCTTCTCCCCGGGAGGCTGGGTGGGCAAGTAGCATTGCCTGTAGCTTTCAAGCACACTGAACTCTGATGCTTCCCTGGCTGCTGGGGGTAAGGCCGGATGGGCAGGGGAAGCAGGATCCTGGGAGACCCCCCCCCCCCAGAGGGCCACCTTTAGCAAAGGAAGCTGTGACTTAGAAATTCTCCCTGGAGATTGAGCTTGTCTTTTCCAGAGTGAAAACTGACTTTATGGTTTATTTCTGACATAAAGACAACCTGCTGTTGTAGAAAGTTCAAGTAATAGAAAAAAGAAAGGATAAAGTCGGGCCAAGCTCGGTGGCTCACGCCTGTAATCCCAGCACTGTGGGAGACCAGGGTGGGTGGATAGCTTGAGGTCAGGAGTTCCAGAACAGCCTGGCCAACATGGTGAAGCCCCAACCCTATTAAAAATACAAAATCAGCTCGTAGTGCACACCTGTAATCCCAGCTACTTGGCAGATTGAAACAGGAGAATCCCTTGAACACAGGAGGCAGAGGTTGCAGTAAGCTGAGATTGCGCTGCTGCACTCCAGCCTGGGTGACAGAGTCAGACTCCATCTCAAAACAAAACAAAAAAAAGCAAGTACAAAGTTGATACCACTTGGACCCCCTGACCCCAGGCAAGTGCCATGACCCTTCTGGGGGGACCCTCCTGTCCCCGTGCTCCCCTCACACAGTTTTGTATCTGCCATCTGCCAGTTTTCTTTCATTTTTGAGACAGAGTTTAGCTCTTGTTGCCTGACTGCAACCTCCTGCCTCCCAGGTTCGAGTGACTTTCCTGCTTCGGCCTCCTGAGTAGCTGGGACTACAGGCGCGAGCCACTAGACCAGCTCCAGCTAATTTTTGTGTTTTTAGTAGAGACGAGGTTTCACCACTTTGGCCAGGCTGGTCTCAAACTCCTGACCTCAGGTGATCCACCCACCTTGACCTCCCAAAGTGCTGGGATTACAGACGTGAGCCACCACAACCAGCCACTCTGCCCAGTTTTCTTTTTTTCTTTTAGCTAGAGTCTCACTCTGTCACCCAAGCTAGAGTGCAGTGGTTCGATCTTGGCTCACTGCAACCTCCGCCTCCCAGGTTCAATCGATTCCCCTGCCTCAGCCTCCCCAGTGGCTGGGATTACAGGTGTCGCCACCACACCTGGCTAATTTTTTATGTAGCTTTTTAGTAGAGGTGGAAGGGTTTCACACGTTGGCCAGGCTGGTAAGCTGACCTCAGGTGATCTGCCTGCCTCGGCCTCTCAAAGTCCTGGGATTATAGGCGTGAGCCACAGCACCCAGCCACTCTGCCATTTTCTACTCGAGGGTTGGTCTTCTGGCGTGTTTCTAGATGAGCTATTTTTGTATCTGCCAGTATTTTCTATATTTTTAAAACGTTTACCTTTTTTTTAGTGTTTTGCTGCGCAGATGCTTCTTTAGGGTCTGGTATGAAAGATTCTTGTCCCCCAGGCAGGCATGCAGGCTCCCGTCCATGACTACTGTCAGAGCCTGGCCTGGACGAGACGTTCCCGTTTTAGAATGTGCTCTTCTGTGGCCTGTGTTCTCCAGACTCTCTTTCCTCACCTTGACAGGAGCAGGGTGATGGGAGTGTGCCCTGGGGAGGCTCAGGGATGAGGTCTCATCCTGCACTTTTATTTATTTATTTATTTTTGAGGCGGGGTCTCACTCTGTCACCCAGGCTGGAGTGCAGTGGTCCAAACATGGCTCACTGCAGCCTCAAACCCCTGGCTCAAGTGAGCCTCCTACCTCAGCCTCCTAAGCAACTGGAACCACAAACACGCACCATCGTACCCGGCGCACTTCAAAAGTGTTTTGCAGAGGCGGGATCTCTCCGTGCTGCTCAGGCTGGGCATCTGCACCTTCATTTTTCTGCTTGTTCTGGCTGTAGGTACAGGCTGCTCAGGCATGTCTCAGCGGATGTTTTGAGGACTTTTTTTTACTTTTAAATGCGTGTATAGTGTGAGTGATGGAGCCAAACACAGCTCTTCGCTCTGAGAAACATCCCGATTCGTAGCCATCCCAACCACTGACTTCTCGTGGCGCTTTCTCTTGCCAGGCCACGGGAAGTTGTTATTTAAAGATGGCAGTTATTACGAAGGGGCGTTTGTGGATGGAGAGATCACGGGCGAAGGCCGCCGGCACTGGGCCTGGTCAGGTGAGCGCCAGCCGGGATGGCACATTCGCACCTTACTCATAACCCACTGGGCTCAGTCGGCCCCTCGGGTCTGGATGCAGAAGGTGTGATGTGTAGACGGGGCCTTTGTGCTGCGAGGGGCCTGCGCGCTGGGAAGCCCTGGGGATCCATTACTTGGACTCCAGGGAGGCTCTTTGGTCACCACCGAGAGCAACTCAGGCTTCCGAGACACTTCTCTGGAGTAAAGATGTTTCGGTCCTGAGTTACGCTATTGCTTTTTTCTTTAAAGCTGTTTCAGCCACAGTGTATCCCTAGTTGGGAAACCCGCTGTGGGGGCTCCCGTGCGGGTGGCCGGGAGCCGTCTCCAGGAACCTCAGAGCCTCAGGGCAGAGCGGTCGGTGGGTGTCCAGTGGAGCTCTTTCCTCTCAGGCTTGGCTTCCAGTTTTTAAAGAGCCAGGGAAAAAGCTCACTCTGCAGACTCTGCCCTCTGGCACAGGGCAGCGGAGCCCTCGGGATGGATGCCCACAGAGAGTGTGCCTAGACTGTCTGCCTGCCCAGCTGCTGGGGAGGCCAGACCTGCTTACCACGTTTTCCCTCGTGAACCAGAGTGCTGCGATGCAGGCGGGGTGCCCGTTCTGAAGCGGTTCCTGCGTCTCGTGGGCCAGGGATGGCGGAGCCGACAGGCTGCAGCCCTGACCCAGCGTTTTGTCTCTTCTCGTCTGCGTGCAGGGGACACCTTCACTGGACAGTTTGTTCTGGGAGAGCCTCAAGGACGTGGCGTCATAGAGTACAAAGCCGGCGGGTGTTACGAAGGGGAGGTCTCCCACGGCGTGCGGGAAGGTCTGGCGGCCACGGGAGCCTGTGCTGTGGGGGCGGGCACTTTTGGGGGCTTGGAATCTCCCATCCACTCAGGCTTGGGAACCTCTGATAGGACCTGTCTGACTTCAGAGGGCGGGAAAGGAGGCGGGGAGCCCGTGCCCTCCTCTCCCCGCCTCACCGTGGCCTGTGGCCTGCACACACTGGGTCCCGTGGCACCCGGTGCATCGCTGTGATTTTGCTGCCCGTGGCTTAGGGGTGAAAATGGCCACTGCTTTAGTGACTGCTCCTAAGCCTGGGGTCAGTAGGTTAGCCTGGGCCCCACAGGGAGGGGCTTCTGGTCACACGTCACATGGCCTCACTAAATGGCTACAGTCACAGCAGCTCTGCCAGGCCTGAGGGCCCCCGACGTCCTTGTGGGCCTGGGAATCCAGCTCCTTGCCCCGGCGTCTCAGTCAGCTTGGCTACTTCCTCCATACTCTGTGGACCCACGCAAGTCAGGAGGCCAGACTGAAGCCAGGAGGGCGCTCTGCCCTGCCCCTCTACCCAGCCAAGCCGGGCCCGTCGCGGTCCACAGTCCCCCGGCCGAAAGGCCACCCACACCTGAGCAGGAGTCAAATGCTAACACCGCCACCCCAGATGGAGCGTCCTCTTTGTTTCCCAGCGTCTCCCTTATGTTAAGAAGCAGAGGCCAGGCATGTAATCCCAGTAGTTTGGGAGGCCAAGTCAGGAGGATCACTTAGAGTTCAGGAGATCGAGACCAACCTGGCCAAAATGGCGAAACCCCGTCTCTACTAAAAATACAAAAATGACCTGGGCGTGGTGGCAGGTGCCTGTAATCCCAGCACTCAGTAGGCTGAGGCAGGAGAATCACTTGAATCCGGGAGGCAGGGGTTGCAGTGAGCTGAGATTGTGCCACTGCACTCCAGCCTGGGCAACAGAGCAAGACTCCGTCTCAAAAACAAAACAAAACAAAACAAAACAAAAAAGAAGCAGAAATACTCTCAAATTTCTAAATTGTCCAAAGCCTGAAAAATCCCACAGTTTACTGAAGCCCCATCCTCTTGAGCTTTTCCTCATTCGGGTCAAGCCCCGCCCTCCTCCCTGTGAACTTGGTTCCGTGTAAAAACAAACATCAGGCCCAAGCGGAACCCATCTCCACCCAGCAGGACGCAGAGGCCGTGCAGCCGCGAACGCTGGGCCGTCTGCAGGGCCCCTTCAGCGGCACCTTTGAGAGCGGGACCCCAGGGCCACTTTTGCTGCCCTGCGGACTGACGGCCCGTCCCAAAGCACATCTGCCCTTCCCGTTTAGAGCCTCCCCAAGCCCCACGCCTCCTAGACTCCCTGCCTTCCTCCTGCCCGCCCTCCGAGGAGCGGGGTGCAGATGCCTTCTCTGATGCAGGAGGCACGAAGCCAAGTGTGTCTCGGTCCCTTCTCCAGGACATGGGTTTCTGGTGGATCGGGACGGACAGGTGTACCAGGGCTCCTTCCATGGCAACAAGAGGCACGGGCTGGGGCAGATGCTCTTCAGGTGAGTATGAGTCTTGCAGGCGCTGTTGGGCGAATGGCAGATGCAGAGCAGGTGTGAGGCCACGTGGCCTGAGGACGTAGACAGGACTGACCGTAGGACACCCCGGGCCCGATCCAGCCCCTGTCTACCCCCAGCCCCTCCAGAGCCAAGTTGTTTAACTACATTCTGTGGTTTGGGGTGTCATTCTGCAGTTTTCCTCCTATTTATTGAAATTGACCGAAGGTGTGTTTAGTAGAGAAAACGTCACCCCCCGCCCTGTTAAAATACCTCCTGAGAAGATCAGGCAGGCCTGGTACCACAGGAGCCTCTCCAGGTCTGGATGAGGGTGGGGGTGCCCTCCCGCCGGCAGCAGGTGCGAGACGTCTTCAGCTGTGTTGACATTCCCGAGGCAGAGGCAGAGGCAGAATCTCCGCTGGCTGTGGAGACTGCAGGCCCCTCCTGCTGCCTCTCCCATGTCATTGCCCATTTTGGGTGGCAGAAGCTGAGTGTGTCCCGAGCGGACCTGCCATCCAGGGTGGGGGTGGGCGGACGTGTCCCCGCCGCCTGTCACCGGCCTCCAGTGGGCCCTGGCGAGGCAGGAGCGCTCAGGGCCATCTGCTCAGGCCTATTTTTGCCTCAGTCCCTTGGTGCCTGCAGAGCCCGGTGGGAGGAGCCGGTCGGAGTCACCGCCGCCGCCTGGCTCCCCATGCTGAGAGTGGACTCTGCATGTGTCCCCCAGGAACGGTGACAAGTACGACGGCGACTGGGTCCAGGACCAGCGTCAGGGACACGGGGTGCTGCGCTGCGCCGACGGCTCCACCTATGAGGTACCCAGGGCACACAGCGCCCACTGCCCAGAGGGCATGGGCCTCACAGTGGGCAGGGCGTGTGGGGGGTGTAGGGAGCCTTGCCCTGGCAGCTTCTCCACGTGCCAGGCCCTGCTCATCGCTTATCATCCTGTGTGGGAAGGGAAGTTTCCCTCTCCCCTCACAGAGAAAAACGAACAGGAGTGGGTTCGTCTGTGTACCCGTGTACACTCGGGAGATACCCGGAGAAGGGGGAGACTCACAGGCGGCTCTCGCCTGTAGTTCAAATTCCATCTTCAGCCAAACCAAAGGAAGAAGGGTGTTGGGGGCCAGTCATGGGGGTAAGGCTTGTGGCGTGGCTGAGGTGGGGCCTTCTCCACCAAGGCTGTCGCACCTCGGTGACCTGGGGCCTTTCTCCTACTCGTAGGAAGAGGAGACACCCTTACACGTGGAGTTTCCTTTCAGATGCAGATTTTTCTTGCACAAGGGAAACTTCTACTCTGTTTTCAGAGCTTCTCCTGTGTCTGCAGTTTCTCAAAATAATCAGCTTAAAATAGTGCTGATGCCAAAGAGGCAGATTTGGGGTGGCACATTCTGGTCTGCGACAGACCCTGCAAGGCAGGGACTAGGACTGTTCTCTGGGGAGAGGGCTGGTGGCCCCGCGCGTGCAGAGAGCAAATTCAGGAGGTTTGGAGGAGGAGGTGCCGGACTTGTGGACAGGTTGGATGTGCAGGCTGGGGCAAGAGAAGAGTTGAGGCTGGCGCTTGGGCTTTGGCCGCCGTTGAGTGGACAGTGGGACCTGGTTCAGGACGCAATCAGGAGACAGAAACCACACCCATTGCCGGGCGCGGTGCTCACACCCGTCATCCCAGCACTTCGGGAGGCTGAGGTGGGCGGATCACCTGAGGTCAGGAGTTCGAGATCAGCCTAACCAACACGAAGAAACCCCGTCTCTACTAAAAATACAGAAATTAGCCAGGCGTGGTGGTGGGCACCTGTAATCCCAGCTGCTCAGGAGGCTGAGGCAGGAGAATCGCTTGAACCCAGGAGGCAGAGGTTGCAGTGAGCCGAGATCTCGCCACTGCACTCCAGCCCGGGCAACAGAGTGAGACTCCGTCTCAAAATAAATAAATAAATAGAACTAACCACACCTATCACTGCAATGGAGAAAATGTAGTGAAAGAGTCACTAACAAGGACGAGGCAGCTAGCTACCAAAAGGGGCAAGAGAAGGAAGAGCAGCTTCGCAGAGCCAGGAGGGGTCCCGCCGACAGCCCCTCAGCCGTGCGTGGGACCTGCGGGGGCTGCAGTAGTTGCCCGGGCTGGGCTGCAGGCCTGAGCTCCCCTGACCGTCCAGCAGCACTAACAGGAAGGGACCCCGTGTGCAGGTCAGCGCGCCACAGCCGGAGAATCGGGGCGGCCAGGGCCTCGGAGAGACCTCCCTGGGTCCTTCGGGCCTCCGGGCTGCTGTTGATGAGAAATGCAGCATTCAACGGTGTGGGCTGCGGAATTACCACGTCAGCTGAATTCCCATCCTCGCCAAGATTCCCATGTGAACGCTGGAGCAATGGTTAGAGAGAACGGTCGCTGGAACTGAGAAGAACCTGGCACCCTCCTGAGACTCAGACCTCGACAGAGGGTGTGGCTGCCAGCCCAGGTGGGAGAAAGGTTTTCTAGGGTTCCAGGGGCCAGAGCTGCTTCTCAGGAAACTCCCCCTGAGGCACAGGAGACCCTTGCCAGAGACCAGACGTTGGGGGGCTTTCTGCAGGCCACTGGCCCTGGCCGTACGAGTTAAAAGTAGACACACTGCCTCCCACAGTCTCACCTGGTTCTCTTTGACAAAGCCTGGCATTGCACTGCTGGCAAAGGAGAAACGTTTACGGGGTCCAGCTCCCATCGGGCAAAGTGGGCAAGGAAGTGGGTGCTGGGAGTTGAGAGATGATGGGTTGGCAGTTGGCACGAGGCCTCATGGGATGGAGGAGATGGGGGTGCAGGTGGGAGCCTCGTCCTGGCCGGTACAGCTGCCCCGCAGCAGGGCCTCAGAGCTGGTCAGATGTGGGGCCCTGGAGGGGTGGTCAGGTCAGGCTCCCCCTCCCCATGCATGTCCACCCTCCCTGCTCTTAAAACAGACCATCCTGCTTGGGTGAAAGTGCCGCCCATGCCCACTCTGGGAGCGTCCTTGCTGGGCCATGGGAGTCCATGCCAGCATCGCTGCTGCCCCCGCTGGCCCAGCCGGTGCTGCTGGTTCCCACCTGAGCCGCAGGCAGGAGGTGCTGTAGCCTGGCCACGGCTCCACCTCTTCTTTCCCAGGGACATGAGTTCATCCTGCAGGACCAGGCTTCACAGCCGGGACAGCCACGACTCTCTTGCCTTCGCTCTCCAGAGCGGCAGCGGGAGAGACGGCCACAGGAGTCTCTGGGCAGAATTCTCGTCTCCCTTCCGAAGGCTGAGCAGCGCCTCGCCTTGCAGGGCTGGGGCGAGGCTGGGGCCGGCTCTGGTGCACAGCTCCGGAGCTTGGGCCTGGGTGTGTGGTTTCACTTCCTGGATGCCAGGTTCTGCTCTCCGCCTTTCAGTGCATGGGCTCATGATTCTCGCCAGTCCGTGCAGAGCATATGTGAGGAAGCTAAGGCACAAGGACCATGGGCTCCCGCATCAGGGAGTGGACGCGCAACCCGGGGAGCTCATGGCCCAGGGACTCAAGTGCCACCTGCTGCCGAACAGGCTGTCCCCTCTGGCCTGGGCTGGGCAGGGCTGGGCGAGAAGCAGCTCCTGTTCTTCCAGAGGACCATGGATGGCTTTGTCCTCCCCACCCCCACTCCCAGCACAGCCCTGTCCCCAAAAGCTGTTCTGTCCCACGGGTCCCCTGGCTGCCACCCAGGCGCCAACTCGGGGCCACGCTGCCTGCTGGTCACCATTGGCCTGGGCCGAGAGAGGACCGGGCGAGGGACGGCTCCCTCCTTCCGGGGCTGATGGCAGCAGGGCACTCGGCGCGTCCACCAGGGGGCAGCCCAGCCCCTTCCCGGCGCCACACTGGCCCGGCCTCGATGGAGGGAGGCGGCTCCTCCCTGGGAGCCTGGAGCTTCTTCCCAGCCTGTGGTGTGGATAGGCGAGGATGGCCCGGGACGACACTGGGCCTGGGGCTGGCTGCATACTCCCGAGAACAGGCCCTGATTGAGCCCCCAGTGCTGCCTCGGGGCTCTGTCCCCTCCCCCGGGGCTTTCTACTTGGGATGGTTTTCCCTGTTGGTGCTAAAGCCTTGAATTCCTCAGAGTTTTGCAGAGGATTCTACAAAGGTCTTGGTGCAAACCCTTTGAGTGACCCACATTCCCTGGGGTTATAACACGACCTCCCCTTCCCTCTGCCGTCCAGGCCTGGAGGACTGCCGGCCAACCGAGGCCCGCACACCCTTGCCAGGCAGGCCCGTGGCCTGAGCTCCGTGAGGACACTGCTGTGTGTTGGTGCTCGCCGCCCCCTGGGGTCCCCTGGGCAATGTCGCCAGCAGCAGCAGTCCCCTGGCCTTGTCCACACTGCTGACACCTGCAGGCACGGGCAGCCCGTGGCCAGTGCGTGCCGCCACCGAGCCACCCGCCCCTCCAGCACCTTCTACAGGCATTGCCCCTGCCCAGACCAAGGTAGCCGCTAGGAGCAGAGAAGGGCACCCGAGGCCAAGAGGACAGGCTGGGCCCCACGCCCTCGGGATCAGGGCCGGGCCTGGGCCGCCTCCCACGCAGCACAGTGGGGCTGCCAGACTGCACTTCAGAGGCAGGAGGTTTTCACATACCTGTTCGTGCAAGAAAACACAACCAGGTCTGTCCTCGGCCTCCGGTTAATCAGGAGAAGCGAGGCTCTCTCGGTGCGTGGCGCCCGCAGCCCGGCTGCGCAGCTCTCTGCTCTGCGTCTTAGCGCTGGACCTTCTGGCCACGGTGCCCCTCCGCCACCTGCAGCCTGGAGAGCAAACACGGTCGACCCAGAGAGGCAGCAGCGGCTGGAGCGGGGAGTCCCGCCGCACATCCCCAGGCCCGCCCCGAGTGAGGGGACGGCTGTTCCTTGTGATGACATTTGTCAAATACTTAGCCCACTCAAAAAAGCATTTTGTCCGCCAGGCACAGTGGCTCACACCTGTAATCTCAGTACTTTGGGAGGCCAGGGTGGGAATATTGCTTGAGCCCAGGAGTTTAAGACCAGCCTGGGCAACATATGGAGACTGTCTCTACAAAAGAATTTTTTAAAAATTAAAAGTTAGCCAAGCATGATGGCACACACCTGTGGTCCCAGCTACTCAGGAGGCTGAGGAGGGAGAATCACTTGAACCCTGGAGGCAGAGGTTGCAGTGAGTTGAAATCATGCCACTGCACTCCAGCCTGGACGACAGAGCAAGAACCTGTCTCAAAAAAATAGAAAATCGAAACACCGACTATTTTGTCGTGGTAAAATACGTGTAAAATAAAAGATACCATCCTAACTACTTTTTATTTTGTAGAGGCGAGGTCTCACTGTTGCCCAGGCTGAGCGTGAACTCGTGGGCTCTCTGCTTCTACCTCGACCCCAGAGGGCTGGAATTTCCCGCGTGAGCCACTGCACGGTCACACCCGTTGTGAGCCACGCACACACCACAGCCACCTCCAGAACCCTGTCCTCTCCCTACCCAAACCCCCTGTGCCGCCCTGGTAGCCACTCTGTCTCTGGACTTAACTGCTCTAGGGGCCTCCTGTGAGTGGGTCACACACGGGTGTCCTTCCGGGCCTGGCTTGTCGCACTCAGCATGGCGTCCCCTGACGCATCCATGCCAGGGCCTGTGCCAGCCCCTCCTGCCTTCCTAAGGCTGAGCAGGGCCCTGCCTTGTGGGCAGACAACACTGGGGAGGCATCCCGCGCCCGGGTCCCTTGGGGGATGCTGCTGTGAGTGCCGCTGCACAGAGACCTCGTCAAGGCCCTTTGGGCTGCAGACCCAGAAGTGAGATTGCCGAGTCACGTGGTGATTCTGCTTTTAATTTTTGAGGAGCCGCCATGCTGCCTTCCACAGCGACCCCCCAATCTTACCTTTCCACCCACACCGTTCAGTTCCTCCCCAGGCCTGCCAACGCTGCGGGTTTTCCCCAGTTTTCGTAGAAGTATTAGCCCTCTTAACAATAGCCACAGTTGAGACGCAGGCCCCGGCCACCACGGCACACCGGGTCTCACTCCGCTTTGCCGCTTCTCGGCAGCTGTGGTCTCCCCCGTCCTGGCCACCAGTCGCGTCCATCCTGGAACACCTCCCCTCGCCATGTTGGCACTGCCAGGCTTTGCGGACTGCCTGTGTGCACAGGAGTCTGGGCCTTTGGATTTCTTTCCTGAGAGCGTGAGCCGTCGAGCGAGGCCACGAGCCAGGCGCCGGCCCTTCCTGGACACCGAGTTGCCTCTGAGAACTGCCCTGCCGCCCCAGCGACACCCAACCAGCCGGCTGTTCACTTTTTAGAGATCATTTTATTTTCTGAGAAGCCTAGAAAGTAGCGAGTCCTCCCTTCTCTCGCTCCTGGCCTTCGCCTCTGCCCGCCTCGGAGTGTGCCCTCAGCACCTCTATCATCAGCTCCGATCCTCCCATCCATGGCAGGAGCAGCTCCAGGACACGTCGGCTGCCACCCAAGGCAGCACAAGCTCCAGGCTGGCGAGGCCCCTCTGGAGACCTGCTCTCCGTCCCGACAGCAGGTGTGTCTGCTGCAAACTGTGTCTCCTGCCCTGCAGCCGGTATTCCTTCATGCAGAGCTCTGTGAAGAACCTTTTTTAAAAATGCGTTCTGGAAAAAAAATGCATTCCTGAAAATAGATGTGGTACAGCTTCTTCTGACGGAAAAGGAGAGCAGCGAGTCCCAAAGCAGAGAAGGCGCCTCTTCCACAGCGGCAGGAGGCGCGCGGCTCAGCGCGGTCCCGGGAGCCACGGACGTCCTGGGCCGCGAGCACCCCCGCCAGCCTGCGACGCCCTGGCCATCTCCGTCCCCGGCACCCCTGCTTCACGGCCTGCCGCCTCGACCTCCCGGGGCCCGAGGGCTTGGGCAGGCCCCACGCGTCCTCCAAAACATCCTCTCTGGGAGCCGGACCGGGATCCGGAGCAGACGGAGTGGACCGCGCGTGCGCCTGCTGGAGCGTCTCCCACGCGTGTTGGCGGCGCGCCCCTCCGGGCGTCCCGGGCTGCGTCAGCTGCGCCGCGGGTGTTGGCCGTCTCACACGCCAGCTTTCCCAGAGGCGCCGCTGGGCGCCGAGCACCTGCTCGCCGCACAGAGCAGGTGGCTCCTTCTCAGCAGCTTCGCCCGCTGCCGTGCCCCAGCCTCCTCCCCTCAGCTGGGCTTGTGTGGGAATGCCCACCCAGGGTCTCCACGTTTGGGCCTACTGCCCTCGGACCCAGGGGTCACGGTCCAGGGAGCCAGGACCAGTGGGGGTCCCCAGGGGTGCACGTAACACTGAGAACCATGTGAATAATGGGGTGTTTGAGCATGGCCTTTGGGGAATCTGGCCAGCTTGCCTCCCATGGACCCCCCGCCAACCTGGGGCAGCGGAGGGGGCTGACAGGCCATCGTGGACCAGTAGGGTCGCTAGGTCAGGCCCCATGCTCCCTCTGGAACTCCTCACAGTTCACACCTTAAAGCCTGGATACTGGAGGTGGGACCAGCAAGGTCAAACGCAGGACCCCTGGTCCCCGCTGTCCCTAGGAGGCGATGTGAATGGCCGGGCCTCAGAAACGGGAGGCAGTGACGCCTGTCCCACCAAGGCACGCCCAACCCCTGGGCAGTCGAAGGGCCCAGCCAGAAGGGTCCCGCACGTTCCTCCCTTGTGACATGGCCTGAGGGGGCTGGGCAGCTGGTCCTGGGAGCCCTTACCTGGTGCACTAGGCCGTGAGCCTCAGCAAGGCCCCGCCTGCTTCAGGCCTCAGGTCTGGCAATGGTTGGGGTTACTTTCTCCAGACCACACCCCCTCGAGGCTGACACTGGGGAAAGCTGGACCCCCGCTCTTCACCCCCACATCCAGGGGGTTCTGAGCCCCGAGAAGCACCAGACCCGCAACCCCCTAGGAGGGCCGGAGGCAGGAAGTGCCTGATGGTGCCAGGGGAGGGTGGACGCCTGACCAGGGCCTGAAAACAGAGGGAGTCGCTTCCAATAAAAGCACAGAAAGGAAACAGCATGAATGAATGGACCAGAAGTGCTGCCCAGGGTGAGAACCGAGCACTCACAACCTCTTCCACCTCGAGCTTTGGAGCCAGCCAGCACCCGCACGGTCCTCGCCCCAGCTGAGCCCACGAAGCTCTCGACTGTCAAGGGAGGTGTGAGCCTTCGGCCAAGGGGTGCTGGGGGCTGGGGAGAGCCAAGCACTGCCCACGGGCTCTTGAGTGCTCTGCCACCCCCAGCGGAGCGGGGCAGGGAAGGGAGGGCGCTCACAGAAGACACCCTCATGGTCCTGGGGTCACCTTTGCGGGAGGCTGGACGTATGCGCGCCAGCTTCACCTGCGTGACGGCATCCTGACTTTGAAATCGCTGTTCGCCTCTGTCTTTTGGGTGTGGACCTGGACCCCAAGTGACCTTTCCCCAAAGGCCATGTCACCGTCACCACCGCAAACCTGTGCTCACCTGGGTACCAGGCAGTGCCTGGCAAGGAGGAGGCAGAGCAGGTGGTGGCATGCCCACTCCTCAGCGCCAGCCTCTCTGCAACTGAGGCTCTGTGCGTGGCTTTCCACGCTGGGCATTGGCCTGGACTGTGCCTGGGTATTCCCCGAGGCGTGGGCGGGAGGCAGCTACTCCAGGACTCTCGGCGTCCCAGTCTGTGTCGTCAGCAGGGGCATCAGGAGCCTCCCCTACACCCTATCTAATAAGCTCCTGCTCGTTCCTGCTTGGGGTGCATGCCACAGAAACAGCTGAATTGTCAAAAGTGTGATTGACACGAATTAATCAAGACCCTGCTATTGGACCTGTTGCACTGAGCTCTCAAATGTGCTTGGACTGACCAGGTGCTGCATTGAAGCTTGCCTGGCAGTGCTGCGCGGGCCCGGCCTCCCACCCAGACACCAGCAACAGGTGCTGAAGATGCCAAGCCCTGATCTGCTTGCTGCATACCTGCGGAGGGGGATGCCAGCCAGGCTTGTGCCACATGTTAGCCGCAGCCCCACACCAACCACGGCTGGAGTCACTCACCCCAAAGGCGGGCTCTGCACCTCTGCGTTTGTCACGCCCTGAGTGTGTCTGGCTTCCCCTGCCCAGCCATGACCTCACTGGGTACTCACTCTGGGCAACACATGGCAGCTGGTGCCAGCCCTGCCCGGCAGCTCCATTTCCCTCCTCCTAAAAGCCCAGGGCGCCTTCCAGAGGCCAAGCAGGTGGGACGGGGCAGAGATGAGCCATTGCCATCCTGATTACTGACGGTGACGCAGACGCCCTGCAGAGCCCTCAGCTGTGCACAGACTCACGCTCCCCCGATGCAGCGTGAACAAGATGGGAGACAGAGGGGGAACGATGGTCCCAGGAAGGGACCCGCAAGAAGTGCCGGTCAGATGCAGTGGACTCTGGCTCAGTTTGATGGGAATGTCTGGAGTCACAGGACAGAGAACCGAGGGGGCAAGGCTGAGGGGAGGTGCTGTGTGCATGCAAGCGCCCCCCCGGCTCCAAGCAGGGCATGGCCCCCAGGCAGGCCGTGAGGCAGTGGGTGGCACCAGTCCTTGGTATCTGAACCCCAGAACTGCTGTCACCTGACCCCCACGTGTGGTCTGGGGCCCCCACCCACTGTAGTTGCCAGTGTGGTTGGCCCTCTCCCAGCACCCAGGGTGGCACAGCAAACTGGGCTATGATCTTCAGGGCAACTGTCTGGGCCAAGGGGCCAACATCAGTGGTGCACTCAGCTCAGAACAGGGCAGGAATACAGCCGGGTTGGGCTGGGATCTTGGGGTCTGCGTGCTGGAGGGACAAGAGCCTCAGGAGCAAGGTCCCTGTCCAGACAGCAGCCGGTCCTCTGCCCATCTGGCTGCCCGGCCTCTCCTGAAGCTGAGGGCTGTGTTTCTGCTGCCGCCAGGAACCCACTCAGGCTAAGGTTGCTGGTTGTCTTGGAGTCCCCCGCCTGGAGGCGTGAGCCATGCTCCAGGCCAGCAGCTGCCAGCTGCCCTGCCCTGCCCCACACACCACGGACGGCCTGGACCTGGAGGCTCCTTTTTAGCCCATCTGCAAATGCAATTCACTACCCTCTCCTCCACCACAGCCCCTCTTGCACCTGGCTTTCCCCAGCTTTTGGGAGCAATCCATTCATTACCTTTGGGGCTGTCGCCTTCAGGGCTGTCTGCAGAGGCCCTGTCTCCCTTCGGCCAGAGACTGCCGCCACCATCCCCGCCTCCCTGATCTGCCTGGCTCCTCAGCCCTGGCCCTAGGCCCTCGCTGATGTCCCGCGTCTCACGGGTCCCAGGTCCCGGGATCCGTAGAGAGGCCCGGGAAGGCACGTGCTGCGCCCTGCAGACCTGCCACCGCTGCCTCAGGGCTCCCCTGGAAAAGGCACCCTGATAGGGCCGGGCAGGGAAGCAGGAGCCCAATTACCTCCTGCCGAAGACTGAATAGAAGCAAAACACGCCTTTGGTTAATTTTTCTGCTAGTGAAAGTAATTCAGAGTCAAATGAAATAGCGCTTCTTCAGATTTTCCATGAACATAATCACCATGCTTTTCCCATGATTTTCCCAGGCTTTGTTGTATGACTTGGAAACCAGGCTTGTTATGGAGGAGGCCGAGCTGGGGTGTGCAGAGAACAGGCAAGCACACAGGCACGATTTTTCAGACTGTGTGTTTTAATTGGCCCCTTCATGTATAAACGAACAGTGTGACGATCAGGGCACCTTAATCCTAACACCACAGTCAAGCGATTTGCAGGTTCGGGCCTCCTTTATGACCCGGCACAAACGCGATATCTTTGTATTAAAAGGATTTTTGTGCTAAAGTGTGCCCGTTCAAGTTTTTGTTTGCATTTTATATATTGTGCCATTGTTCCCATACCTCCTGGCATCATTAAAATTCAGAGGGGGTACATTTTGCAAAGCAAATTGGATCACATTCTAATGAAACATAGTTTCTCACCACCAAGGAACAGGCTGCAAGGACCCTCGAGACAATGTGGGTTTCTAGCAGCCTTTGGTCCTGGGGCTCCGAGGTAGCCCCAGGGAGCCACAGTGCCTTGCAGAGGCCCACGCAAGCCCCTTGGGAGCCACCAGCCTGAGCCCCGCCTTTCTCTCTGCAGGGACAGTGGCACAGCGACGTCTTCAGTGGACTGGGCAGCATGGCCCACTGCTCAGGGCTCACCTATTCTGGGTTGTGGATCAACGGCCACCCAGCAGGTAGGTGTAGCTGGCTTCCCGTGGGTACTGTGAGGTCCACTGTGGGGTGGCCCTGGCCACGGGACAGCCACATGGGAAACACCCAGAGCACACGGGGGAGGGGTGTGGCAAAGGAGAATCTAAAATCCCCCCTCACCTTTCTAAAAAACATGGCCAAATGTGACCTCAGAAGTGGTCCTGCTGCCAGTGGGGCTTCCCAGACTTGGGGCCTGAGTGTCTGGGGGTGGCCAGGGCATGGTTGCGCTGTTCCCCAACTGCCCTCTGTCCGGTGTCCCTGAGGCCTCCGCACGGTGATGCAACCTCTGGGGGACTCAGGCTCACAGAAGGACCACCCAGTAGGGCTGCCTCTGGGGAGGCCTCGCTCTGCGACCTTCCCTCTCCACCTGGTGGCCTGGTGGCCTCGTGGCCTTGGAGTGGCCGCTCCATGCATTCCAGAATGAGGGCGATACCCAAGGGGTCAGTCTGCTCAGAGACACAACACTTGGAACCAAACATCCAAACCTTGGAACCAAATTGGCGACACAGATGCAGATGATGCTGGCACCGACTCCGGGTCTGCACCAGGAGCACACGAAGAGTCTTAGCCTGGGCAGCCCCACAAACCCTCCTGACACAGCTCCACACACACAGACAGCTGCACACACACACACACACCTCCTCACACAGCTCCACACGCACACCTCCTCACACAGATCCACACCCCTCCTGGGGTAGAAGCACCCTGGCATCAGAGTGCCGTGGAAATCAGTGCCCACAGCGATGCCCCCAGGCCCCGGGAAGTCACCCTTGCCCCGGGTCTCGCACCTTAGGGTCCTGACTCAGACGCAGGGAATGCAGGGCCTGAATCCCGACCAGCGGGAAGACGTGCCCGAACATTCCACCGGGAGGAAAACCTGACACTCCTGCACCCCCCACTCGTGTCTCTGGCGTGCTTCGTGGCCCCTGGGGTCTACTGGACTCCGTTCCACAGTGCTCACGGCCAGCAGCACCGAGTCACGTGGGCCGAGTGCAGCCGCTGCTCCGCAGGCGCCTCTGCACGGCGGCTTGTTGGGGGTCACCCCGAGCTCTGGCCGGTTCCCAGGGCGCCCACTGTGACTCAGCACCAGTAGAGCCACACTGTCCTCTCCAGAACAAGCCACGAAGATGGTGATCTTGGGTCCGGAGGTGATGGAAGTGGTCCAAGGCTGTCCCTTCTCGGTGCACGTTCAGCTGCTGCAGGACCAAGGGGAAACTGCCCAGAGTAAGCTTCTCCGGGAGGATGGTCTGACGCTTCCAGGAGAGAAGCAGGCGTCAGGTGCCTACGCGGTGCAGATACAGGCAGGGTGTCGCGAGTGGCTCCTGCGGCAGAGCGGAACCTTTGTGCCCAGAGCCTGGCAGAGAGGCTGCAGGCGTGACAGCTCCCCTGCCCGTCGGGCAGCCATGGGTGTGTGTGCAGGCGTGTGTGTGCAGGCGTGTGTGTGCAGGCGTGTGTGTGCAGGGGTGTGTGTGCAGGCGTGTGTGCGCAGGGGTGTGTGCGCAGGGGTGTGTGTGCAGGGGTGTGTGCGCAGGGGTGTGTGTGCAGGGGTGTGTGCGCAGGGGTGTGTGTGCAGGGGTGTGTGTGCAGGCGTGTATGTGCAGGCGTGTGGGGGAGCTGTAATGTGTGCATGTGTGTGTGCGTGTGTGTGCATGGGCATGTGTGCAGGCATGTGTGTACACGGGTGTGTACATGGATGTGTGTGCAGGCATGTGTGTGCAGGCGTGTGTGTGCAGGGGTGTGTGTGCAGGCATGTGTGTGTGAGTGCATGGGTGTGCAGGTGTGTGCACATGGGTGTGCGGGTGTGTTTGTGTGAGTGTGTGTGTGCAGGCATGTGTGTGTGCACATACTGTGATGTGCGTGCTCACATATGTATGTGCTTAGGGGTGTCTTCCTTGCACATGTGTGCACAGGTCTGCATGTGTATACGTGTGTGGGCACGCGTGCCTGTGTCGGCGCATCCTTCCCTTCTGGGAGGATGGTCTTCTGTTCCATTGAGGGGTCACGGTCTGCTCCCCACTCATCCGCAGGTGGACGCTGTGGCCGTTTGCCCTGGGCGGGTATGAGCAGTGCTGCTGTGAACATTTGTACACAGGCTTTTGTGTGTTTTCATCTCACATGGGCACGGACCTACGAATGGAATTGCTAGATCACATGGTAGATTTATGTTGGAACTCTTAAAGAAACTGCTGAACTGTTTTTCAGAATGGCGGCAGCATTTTACAGTCTGAGCACCACGCGTGAGGGTTCGGATTGCCCCACGGCCTCCTGACACGGAGTTCTGTCTTTTTGTAGTAACTGCCCTGCGGGTGGAAAGTGCTAGCTCCTCGTGGCTTTGATTTGCGTTTCCCTCACGACCGATGATGATGAGCGGCTCTCACCATGCTTGTTGGCTATTTGTTTATCTTCTTTGGAGAAATGTCTATTCAAATATTGTACCCATTTTTTAAAAAACTGGACTGTCAGGCACAGTGGCTCATGCCTAAACTACCAGCACTTTGGGAGGTTGAGGTGGGAGGATCACTAGAGCGCAGGAGATCAAGACCAGCCTGGGCAACATAGTGAGACCCCATCTCTTAAAACACCCGAAATTGTTTATAATTAGCCGATTGTGGTAGTACATGCCTGTGGTCCCAGCTACCCAGAAGGCTGAAATTGGGAGGGTCCCTTCAGCCCAGCAGGTTGAGGCTACAGTGAGCCCCGTGACTGCGTCACTGCACTCCTGCACTCTAGCCTGGGCGACAGAGGGAGACCCTGTCTTACAAACAAAAACAACAAAAGGTTGTCTTCTTATTTCTGAGTCACAGAGTTCTTTACCTATCCTGGACACAGGCCGTTTGTAGACACATCTTTCCAAGTGTTTTCTGTCTGCTCATGGCTTATATTTTCATTTGCTTAATGCTGTCTTTGGAACAGCAAAAGTTTGAATTTTGAAGTCCAATGTGTCCACTTTTTCTTTATGGATCATAGTTTTGGGAACTGTATTTAAAAATTATTTGCCTGACCCAAGTTTCACAAGGACTTTTTCATAGCCCTGGAGAGGTTCTATACTTCTAGCTCTTCCATTTAGGTCTGTGATCTAGTTTAGTTTTTGTGGAAAAGATAAAGTTCTAAATTCATCTCTTCTTCATGGGGATGTTCAGTGGTCCCAGCATCGTTTGTTGAAAAGACTGTCCTTTCGCCATTGAGCTGCCTTGCACCTTTGATGAAAATCAGTTTGCCCTACGAGCCAGGGTTTCTGCCCGAACTCCCAGTTCGGCTCCATCAGCCTCTCTCCTGATGTGTCCTCAGTCTACACCAGGACCACACTATCTGGACTATTGTCGCTTTCAGCACGTTTTCCAGTTGGAGAGTCCTCAAATTTTGTTCTTCCTTTTCAAAATTATCTTGACTCTGCTGGGACCTTTGCATTTCTGTATAAACTTTTAAGATCAGCTTGCCAATTTCTGCAACAACAACAAAAGAAGGCTGCTGGGATGCTGATGGGGGTGCGTTGAACCCCTCTGGAGAGACTGGCCGTCTCACCAACACTGAGGCCTCCAGTTCCTGAAACGCGGCGTCTCTCCGCTGAGTTAGAGCTCATTCTCTCTCCCCGGTGTCTGGTTACTCTCAGCACACATCTTGCCCTTCTTTATGAAATCTATTAATACGCAATAATGTATTATTCACTATTGAATTATAATTATTAATATAATTATTAGTACAGTAATTAAAGCAGTGATAAATTTGGTGTATTCTTTTTTTTTTTTTTTTTTTTTTTTTTTTTTGAGACGGAGTTTCGCTCTTGTTACCCAGGCTGGAGTGCAATGGCGCGATCTCGGCTCACCGCAACCTCCGCCTCCTGGGTTCAAGCAATTCTCCTGCCTCAGCCTCCTAAGTAGCTGGGATTACAGGCACGCGCCACCATGCCCAGCTGATTTTTTGTATTTTTAGTAGAGACGGGGTTTCACCATGTTGACCAGGATGGTCTCGATCTCTTGACCTCGTGATCCACCCGCCTCGGCCTCCCAAAGTGCTGGGATTACAGGCTTGAGCCACCGCGCCCGGCCAAATTTGGTGTATTCTTTTTATGCCATCGTGAGTAGAATTTTCTGAACTACGTTTTGGAAGTTTCTGGACTGCAATTGATGTTTACATATTGACCTCATTTCCTTTGACTTGCTTTACTCATTTATTCTAGTGTTTTGGAGGATTCCTTAGGATTTTCTCTATATGGGGTCATGTTGTCTATAAATAAATACAGTGTTACTTCTTCCTTTTCAGTCTGAACATGAAAAACTGTAGGGTTTCACGTCACCCCCAGTAATGAATGAGGGTTCTGACGGCTCCACACCCTCCTCGGTTCTTGCTATTGCCTTTTTCTTTTTGTTTTTTTTTTTTTTTTTTTTTTTTTTTTTGAGATGGTGTCTCGCTCTGTCATCCATGCTGAAGTGCAATGGCATGATCTTGGCTCACTGCAACCTCCAACTCCTGGGTTCAAGTGATGTTCCTGCCTCAGTCTCCCCGGTAGCTGGGCCTATAGGCACCCACCACAACACCCGGCTAGTTTTTGTATTTTTAGTAGAGACGAGGTTTCACCATGTTGGCCAGGATAGTCTCGATCTCCTGACCTCATGATCCACCCGCTTTGGCCTCCCAAAGTGCTGGGATGATAGGCGTGAGCCACCGCGCCCGGACTGTCTTTTTTTTTTCCCCGCCGAGACGGAGTTTCGCTCTTGTTACCCAGGCTGGAGTGCAGTGGCGTGATCTCGGCTCACCGCAACCTCCGCCTCCTGGGTTCAGGCGATTCTCCTGCCTCAGCCTCCTGAGTAGCTGGGATTACAGGCACGTGCCACCACGCCCAGCTAATTTTTTGTATTTTTAGTAGAGATGGGGTTTCACCATGTTGACCAGGATGGTCTTGATCTCGTGACCTTGTGATCCACCTGCCTCGGCCTCCCAAAGTGCCGGGATTACAGGAGTGAGCCACCGCGCCCGGTCCGGACCGCCTTCTTTGTGGGTGTAAGGTGGAGCCTTCTTGTGGTTTTGATTTACATTTCGATAATGGCTGGATATTGAGCATCTTTTTGTGTGCCTTGGGCCATTTGTAGATCTTATTTGGAGAAATGGTGGTAGGAGGTGGCCCTTGACACCAGAAGTGGGGCTGAGACACAGGACCAAATTGAGGACTAGATAAAACAGGGCCAGGGCAGAAGCAGCCTTCCGTCAGACATGCCAACCAACACATTATGCCAGTTTACCATCACCCTGGTGACGTTACCACCCCTTTCCGTGGCAATGACCAGATGACCCAAAAGTTACTGCCCCTTCCCTAGAAATTTCTGCATAAAGCACCCTTTAATCCGCATGCAGCTGGAAGCGGGTGTAAATACGACTGCAGCGCTGCCCTGAGCTGCTGCTCCAGAGGAGCAGTCACAGAGCGGTAGCCCCGCCCCTCCCGTACCTCCCGCTCGCCCTCGAACCCTTCCCTGGCCAAAGCCAAGAACCCTCACAGGCTAAGCCCCCTGTCGAGCTCACTTGCCCTGCATGAAAATGTCTTAAGAATGCTTTATATATTCCAGATACAAGTCCTTTATCAGATATCTAATTTGCAAATATTTTTTTTCCATTTTGTGGGCAGTCTGGCAGTTTCTCAATGGTGTTCTTTGAAACACACAAGTTTTAAGTTTTGATAAAGCCCAATTTCTCTATTTTTCTTTTTGTTGCTTTGGATGTCATATCTAAGAAGACTTTGTTTAGCCCAGACTCCTATGCTTTCTCTTAAGAATTTTATATTTTTAGGCCAGGCGTGGTGGCTTATGCCTATGATCCCAGCACTTTGGAAGGCCAAGATGGGCAGATCACCTGAAGTCATAGGTTCAAGACCAGCCTGGCCAACATGGCAAAAATCTGTCTCTACTAAAAAATACAAAAACCAGCTGGGCATGGTGGCAGGTGCCTGTAGTCCTAGCTAATTGAGAGGCTGAGGCAGGGAGAATTGCTTGAACCCAAGAGGCAGAGGTTTCAGTGAACCAAGATCGCACCACTGCACTCCAGAGTGACACTGTCTCAAAAAAAAAAAATATATATATATATATATATGAAAGCTAAGTATATATATATATATATATATATATATAAAGATTAACTCCAAATAGTTCCTAAATGTAAAAGCTAAATATATATTTATAATATATATATAAATATATTATAAATAATACAATATGTTGGATGTGATAATAAATATA